CCCTCCCCTCCCCTTGAGGATCAGCCGGTCCAGCCAAGCTGGACCAAACCCTAGGCCGGTCCTCCCTAAAGCCCCCTGTCATTAGTTGCCTATACAAAGTATATTGGACCCTTAAGGGGGCTGGCCAGTCCATGGGGTGTGGGATTGCTTGAATCAGTCCCTGGTCCTTCTCTGGAGCAGTTCTGTCCCGATTTCACCTGGGGGCAGACCATCGGACGACCGAATTAGTGGAGGTTACAGGAATCCATTTTCCAGGAGTTTAGCTTTCTTCCTCTAGTGATCCTTTTGACTCTTGGTATTTTTGAATTCTAGCAGTTCAAGGTTTCCCGCTATTGCCGTCTCTACTTCTCCTATCCTATTTTCTGATACAGCTACTACCTCCTACTTGTTATCCTGTCCTGCTGTTTAACTGGTCTATCCTCCAAAACTGGCTACCGTTCTTCATACTGCATAATTGTTATAATCATGCCATGTTTTTTCAACCCTATTTTGATGCTGTTAGTACTTTTATTGATGATTTATGTGGCCAAAATTCATAAGAGGATGTATTGAAACTTGTTATACTCGAATAGATATTGATGGATCATAAGAAGTTTTTTATTTTGGGTCATTTGAGGAGTGAACAATGATTGGATATTGCATAAATTCAGTTTTCCTCGTTGCTCACGTGTTTGCTTGTCGGATAACTGTTCTTCAAATGCTTCACATTTGTGGATAAGTACTTTGAGGGGCGAGTTTTCCAATAACGAGACAAGATTGGTTCTACCTTCAGTTGATCTCTATCTTTGTTCCTGTTAAATTTGCTTAATTGCTAATTTGTATGCGAGTAGAATTGTGTGGTATGTACTAGACTTTGTTTTTGAATTGAGAAATTTGTTGCTGAATTTTTATGCATAATCAGTGTTCTATTGTACAATTTCAAAATTTTTATTCCAATTAAATCATTATTTGGAATATAAGAATTGTGCTTTTTTAGTTTTTACTTTTAAAAGCAACCGATTTTTGCTGAAGTTAATACGTTCGCCACTTGTGATTATATATATATTACTGCTTGAGAAATTCGTCTTAAATTTGCTTTTGTCTTGTACGTCTAAAATTGTAATTGATGCAATACTTCCTTTAGAACTGTGGTAATTGCATTTCTCTTACGTACGTTTTCTTCTTCAATTTTTAACGGGCTTCTTATGTGAATATCTAGTGCTGGTTTCGAACTTACATTTTGTTTGCCAGGCAAATTTCTCAACTTCTATTATAATCTATGTTTAAACTACAATATAGTCATTATTTGTATTACTCTTTCCATTATACAAAGTTCATAAAAAATGGCCCTTCAAGGACTCAGTGGAGGTTAATTTTTTTAAAATTCAAAAAACTAAAATGGAATTAATTTTGTATGGCAATTTCTTCCTGAGAGATTATTATGAATCAGTTTGTATGTTCAATATATTAAATTTGAGAATGATCAACTCCGAGACTTAATTGGCCATAAAATAAGAACACGACTATTTTAGGATTTAATCTTATAATTTACTAAAAGGTTCAGAATATTAAAACCTTTCGTGAGTTTCTAGATTGCTGGAAGAATTTTCGTATTTTCATTCTATTAGATGATTTAACTTTGTTAATTGTTTCAGGTGCAAGTGAAATGCTCATTAGTTTACATGGACTTTGAAGGTCGGTCTGACGGGCGTTCCATTAAATCTATCCTTGCACATGTAGCTCCACTGAAGCTTGTAAGTAAACAGTATTATGGAACTTTGTATTTTTTTTTTAAAGTTTCGTTTGGAGAGAATGAAACTTTGAGCAGAATTGTTGAAGATCGGTAATATCTTGTGTGGAAATTGAATTTACGTTTCTCTTATATTCAAAAGTTACTCCTGGTTTTCTATTCATAGCTGAATACATGACAAAAATCCTGAAGCACATGAAATTTGCAGCAGTCATATTTACAAGATTTCTAATATGTAGGATTAGTTTAATTTTCTATGTACATCACTAGTAAAACTTCATAATCCAGTCAATATTGCCGCCATAGTTCTTTCCATTCAGGACCAATCCTTTCAAATTCAGCCAAGTGTCCTGCTGTCCCTTTGACGTTGCGTTCAAATTTTGTCATTAGCTGTCCATCTTTCCAGCCTAATATTTGTCTGTTTCCAGTTTTGATCCGTCTCCGACGGTCCAATTTTCCAAAGAAAAACTCATATATCTAGTTATTCAGGTCCTGGTTGTGAATTTTCCTCTGGTTAGTCCCTTAGTTTTCTGGTACCTGTTTGTAAGGACTGTAATCAGGATGCATATCTTGCATTGTTCTCTTTTTGACATTGTAAACAGAAGGAACGATTCTATACCTAACCCTTAAATATTGACTATTCATAAAGCTAACTTCCTTCTACCAATTTTAATTTCACTTTTTATCATGCCAGTATCTTTATCGACTCTTTTTATGCTAGTGTATCATTTTTCCCTTTTATTTTGATTAATTCAATTTTCAAACTGCGAGGTTTACACATTAGACCACCTCAAGGCTTGTGCCGCGCAAACGGAAAAAACCTCAATACCCGACAGTGAAATTTTAAATATTGATGGTGAGAAAAATTGAAACAGCTACACTAGCGTGAGGGAAAAAAAAAATAAAATCACTATCTATTCCAAGATGAAAAAGGAGATACAGTATAAATACCTTCCCATGTATTATCGATAGGGCATGTTCATACATTTTCATAATCTCCTGTGGATAGATTCTTCAGTGGAGTACAAAAATGATGTTGATTAACTTATGCTGAAATGTGAATTGGTGGAACCAGAGGAACACAAAATGATGAAGTATCATGGAGGATTGAAGCCATCCATTGATAAAGTACTGCAGTTATAACCGTATTGGTCCCTACTTGATGTATAAACTCTAGGTTTGAAAGTGGAGAAGCAACAATGTCTTCAGGTGACCACCATACCTTACAGACAGAGTTAACCCTAGGATCAGACAACAAGTATACAATTAATGGGGCACCCAAGTCGACCCCACCCGAGGAGAAGCCTATCAGCTGTGGAGAAAAGGTTGAGACTAACAACACTCAAATCTGTCACAACTAGGAAGTGCTTCAAACGCCATGATTTTGAACACATTTTTTTCGATTGCCCAAACAAGAGGTTGATCTTTTTTACTGAGCAGGGATCAATTGAAGAAATAGACAATGACAGATGAGAGAATAAAAATGTTAGAGTATTTGATTCCAGCCGATGAGGGAGACATGCTAGTGATTCGATGGATCCTTCAGGTTTAAGCCCACAAGAGAGCAACGGTGGTGGCATCATATTTTTTTTACCTGTTGCATCATGAAGGGAAAAGTATGCAATTTTACTAAATAGACAGATACTGTTATGAAATGTGGTATCTATACAAATGATGAAAAATTGAGCCCACTACTTAGAAGCATTCTCAATTTTTTTTTTGACTTGGTTGAAGAAGGATTGTAAGATTTGTATTGACAAGGGATGTTTGATAGTTTTTTTAATTTGAGACAAACTGTAGGATCAAGTTTAGCGCAATGCCGTGCTAATAGATGCCTGTCATATTTTGTTGGGTTGACCGTGATAGTATGAAAGGGGTATAATTCGTAATGGTTACAAAAGTACCTATAAATTTGATAAAGATTGGGAGCCTACTGTACTTCAACCATTAAAGGAGACAACTATAAGAGTTATCATACCTCGTGCTACATTTCTGCAGGCTATAAGAGAGAAGCCAGTGAAATTGGCCTTGCTGCTGCTAGAAGACAGTGATATGGAGTCGATACCTAAGGCAATACGACCCTTACTGCAAGTTTTTATATATGTTTTTATCGACAATATGCCACTTGGATTGCCGCCTCTACAAGAAATTCAATATCCTAGAGATCTTATCCTAATATTATTACTCCCGAACAAACCATTTTACATTATGCGACCAACAAAGTATGAGGAGCTACAAAAGTAAATTGAGGATTTCATGGCTCAGGGACTAGTTTGCGAGAGCATCAGTTCATGTGTTGTGCTAGCTTTGATTATGGCCAAACGGATTAATTATGGGGCATGTGTATAGATAGCGAGGCTGAAAACATGATCACAATCAAGTACAAAGTCCCTAAGATTGACGAATTATTGATCAATTACATGGAGCTAGAATCTTCCCCAAGATTGATCTTCATGACATGAGATGGATTGTATGATTAGACTGTTTTTACTTTTGATTTGTCCAATGCACTGATTTTGTTCATGCTGCTGATGAACCAAGATTTTTCTAATCTTAATAGAAAAATTTGTGGCTGTGTACTTTTGACAATATTTTAGTGTGCAACTATTCAAAGGAGGATCATCCACAACATTTGCCACAAATTTTTGTGTTTTTTAGACATAATAGTTAAATAGTCACTTGGAGAAGTCTCATTTTCTTAAATCGCATATCTGCTTTCTAGGATATATTTTTTGTGTTATAAACATTGAGCTGGACCTAACAAAGATTGAGGTGATTGCGGCATGACCCATACATCAGTAATTCTCTCAAGCATGCTAGTTTCATGGTGTGACTTTTTTTTTACTATAGATTTTTCAAAAAATTCAGCACAATTACGATGCATTTGATGGAGCCTCTCAAGTTGCATAGATTTTCTTGGGCATATGATGCCCAAACTAGTTTTGATTCTTTGAAGAAACAAGTGACTCAATCTTATGTTTTAGCACTTTCATATTTCAATAATGTGTTCGGGCTGGAGTGTGATGCCTTTGATGTGGGAATTGAAGCTGTGCTAAGTCCGGGAGGATATCCTATTACTTTCTTCAGTTAAAAGTTAAATGATTCTAAGAGAAAATGTTCAATCTATGACAATAAGTTTTATGCTTTTGTGAGAGCTCTCAATCACTGGAATCATTATTTACTTGCGAAAGAATTTGATCTGTACACTGACCATGAGAACATAAGATTTTTGAGTAGCTTTTGTAAGTTAAAGAATATATGTCTCTTGAGTGGAATTTTTTTATTTATTCTATTTTGTGCTCAAATATAAGTTATTGAGTCAAAACGAATTAGCAGATAGACTAAGCCTTCATCACCTATTAACGCTAATATGAAGTATAAGATAGTTGATTTTGAGGTGTTGAAGAATTTGTATCGAGCTGATGGAAAATTTTAGGATATTCGGACCCGATGCTAGAGTGTATCTTATGAGCAATATCATAAATCTGATGGATATCTATTCTTCCATAACATATCGTGCATGTAGTGGATTAATGATGTGGCATTGTGGCAAAGATAAGATCTTCTTCGTAGTAAAGCAAAACTTTTATTGGCCCAAATTGGTATGAGATGTGGAGAGACATGTATGACAATGAATGATATATCATTTGGCTAAGACGCAAAAATAGAGTACATGACTATACACTCTTCCCATTTCATAAGTATCCTGGTTGGACGTTGTTGACCTCATTTTTGGGTGAGATTTTTACTTTTCTCCTTAGAGCCTAGTGTCTGGCCTTAGGTTTTCTTTGTTTCACCCTCTTAGAGGATTAGTACCAAACCCACACAATTTAGAAAATTCGAGCCACCTCGTCACTCCTCCGAGTCTCGCATGACAGTCTTGAATCCTTGAAATCTTGCTGAGTTGGTTAAAACCGACATATGAAACTTGAGTTGAGTTCCTACATAAATAGGAGCAGCCTCTAGGGAACTTCTTGCGACCCGAACACTCACTAACCCCGCATTTTGCACACTTATCACACCACACACGACTTTAACTTGAATTGACTTGCCCGTCGGCGAACTCTTCCGGATTACCATGGATGACGAAACAGACCACACGGATGCGTCCGAGATGTCAACTTTAGCTTGGAATGACACCCATATTGTCATGGTTTCGCGCACGAGCAATTAGCACGAATATCGATGCACGTTTTTTTTAATTAGCGGTGCACGGGCTCGGGCTCAACCCAGGTTTAACTTGGATTCGATTTGGGCTGAACTCGGGTTAATCACCAGCTCACATAATTTCGAATTTCAATTTTCAAAATTCAAACGAAACTCGTCTTAATTGAAAATAATTTGGTGCTTTTTTTTTAATTTAAGTCGGCTACATCAAAGGAAACCATTTAATTCCCCGCCAAAACTTTCAGGTAACGACTCCCTCTACTATACTAATTGGCCTCATGTCCTCTGCCTCTGCAACAGAAGGCTTGATTCAATCATTCCCTCGCTCGCAGCCCCGCTCTCGAGAGATCCCAATCGATTCCTTCCTCCTCTGCACCGAACCCCACCTGCTTGCCTTCCTCTTCCGGAGGCAGAAGAAGCCTCATTCGATACCAACCTCCCTCTCCTCCTCTGTTCGGCCCCCGCTCCTCTTCTGCGAACAAAAACGCTTGCCCCCTCTTCGCCTCACGCACCGAAACCCTCGCATCCGCTTCCTTTCTTCCTCTGCTCAATCAAGCTCGTCTCTTCCTAGCCAGAGACATTCAACGCTCTCTCCTCCAGTTCGAAGACCTCCCCTTCTCCCTTCTCCTCTCGCGTCCGCTCCTCCTTCGCTCGATCCCGCTTTCCCTCTGCGCTTGACAGCTCCTCTCTCCCGCTTGCCTTCCTCCTCGCGCACGACCGAGCCCGCTCGCTACTTCCTCTCCCGACAGATTCAACTCCTCCGCTCGATTACGCTCTCCCTCTGCGATTCGCGCTCCTCTCTTCTGCTTGCCTTCCTCCTCTGCGAACTGAAGTCCGCTTCTCCTTTGAAGTCCTTGCCAGCTCCCCTCTCGCGCACGACACAACAACGGTTCGCCTGCTTCCCGCTTGACACCCTCGCCTTTGCTCACTTGTGTTTACGTTGTCGGTAAGGTTTCAAGATGCTGATCTTGATCCATTGCTTGTTTTAATCTTTGGGATATATGATATATAATATCATATATTAGCATGATCTGAAATCCCTTTCACGAGATGGTATGGAAAAATTTGGAATTGGTCATATACGTGGAGGCAGGCGAAGGATTTCTCCGGACTGGGTTTTAACTGCGAAATTTGTCACTACGATAGACTTTTCTCTTTTGAGACATGCATGATGTTTTATTGCTTTCGTTTTTTTTACTTGGAGATGTTCTTTCTTTTTCCGTTTTGATTTTGAAGTAACCTCCATGAAGTTTGATAAAATTAAATCATGGAAAGCCATTATCTTTTCAATATTTTGTGAATGTTGCATTTCTCACTTAGTATACAGTAACTACCGTGAGATAGGTGCTAGACCAGGATGGTTAATGGAGAGGTTTGTATTGGGCTTGCCATTGTAAGCTGCCTCCAGATGGCAGTTCGAGTTTTGGTGAGGAATGTTTAAACTGTATGCTTAATATTGAGTGTGTAAAGGGAACTTGCCCATGTGGGAATCTATATTCGAATCGGCAGTCCCAAAAGCACAATATGCCAAATTTAGATGGATTAACTATGGAAAGCAAGACTATGGATTACATTTGGAAGAGAGTGCTTCTAAAGGACAATTTCTCATTGAATATGTTGGGGAGGTGCTTGATTTAGCTGCTTATGGAAAACGGCTTAGATATTATGCTTGCAGAGGTCATATGCATTTTTATTTTATGACGTTGAATGGTAGTGAGGTGATAGATGCATGCTCTAAGGGGAACTTGGGCCGTTATATCAATCACAGCTGCGATCCTAATTTCAGAGGACTGAAAAATGAATTGTACCCAGTTGGAGGGGTTTTGTCACTATTTTGAAAGACCTAAGGGTACCTTTTGAAGAGTTACATAATTGCGGTTTGAGAACTTTTAAAACAATTGTTTGGAATTTCGAAATTGCTGCGAGAACTGTGGGAGAGCCGTAGGGTTGGAACTTCAAAATTACCGCGAGAACTGTAGGAAAGCCGTAGGAGCCCTGTATGGAGTTCCTAGCTGCTGCTCGGAGTCATAGGAAGTCGTAGAGTTGCTGTCCGGAGTTCCTAACAGCTGTTCAGAGTCGTAGGGAGTCGTAGGAAGCCGTAGAGTTGCTGTTCAGAGTTCCTAGTCGCTGTCCGGAGTCGTAGGAGGCTGTAGGATCACTACCTGAAGCTCCTAGCCACTTCCCGGAGTCGTAGGAAGCCGTAGAGTTGCTATCCAGAGTTCCTAGCCGCTGTTCGGAGTCGTAGGAAGTCGTAGAGTTGCTGTATGGAGTTCCTAGCCACTGTCTGGAGTCGTAGGAAGCTGTAGGATCACTACCCGAAACTCCTAGCCGTTGCCCAGAGTCGTATGAAGCCGTAGTTCGGAGTTCCTAGCCGCTGCCCGGAGTCGTAGGAAGCCATACAAATGCTATGCGATGTTGCATATTGCTGTTCAGATTCGTAGGAAGCCGTAGGAGGTCGTAGGATCACCGTACACGATTACTAGTTGCTGCCCGGAGTCTTAGGAGGTCGCAGGTCGTAGGATCACCGTACACGATTACTAGTTGCTGCCCGGAGCCGTAGGAGATCGTAGGATCACCGTACACGCTTGCTAGTTGCTGTCTGGAGTTGTAGGAAGTCTTAGAATCACCTGTTTGATGTTTCTAGTTGCTGTTTGCTTACTGTTTTCTTCTTTTTTTCTGCAATTTACTTACATTCTGTACAAAATATATTCTGTTTTGCAAACTAAATACGTAATAAGGATAGTAGTAGCAAGTATGTCAGGTACGCAGGTACATTTTTTTGTTAATTTTTGTTAGTGCAATTTACTCTTGTTCTAACACATCATGCAGACACTGATTGCGATTTTATTTTTAAAACAAAATAATTTTCAAAAATAAAACAACATTTTCAAAAAAAAAACACGTTCTTTTGAATTTACGGAGGTCCATTGTAGGAGTTAACCCACGGTTGCTAACGAGATATCACCGGTTTAAATGTGTTTCACAACTTATTTAGCTAAGTAAATTCAAAAGAAAATAGTGGTACCAGAATGAGGGAACCATGTGATCCTAATCGATGTCGCTCTAATCAACTTTAACCCCCGCATAATGCTTGAATGATAACAAAACTAAGACTTTGGAACACACATGGTAAAACCTTTTGAACTTTAGACTTTAGGACTGCTACTTCGATAAGGAGTTTGGAGCAACTTCATGGGCAGCGCGATAATGAGCTTGGAGCGTACTACAAGTGGAGGTGGTCGTCATTCTACAACAACAAAACAAGTTTACACCACCTAAATTCTCTCCTTAGTTTAAATAACAACCCATAGGTCTTCGAGGTAGCTCACCCAGCGCGACGTAATTCCTCATACATTCTTTAGGCTCCTGCACAACTATGTTGTGCAACGTAAGTCCTAACTCGCCTTATGTTCCAAGTTTGTCGTGTGACACAACATAAACCCTCATATCTTTGCGGGCTATTTACATAATCGAATATTATGCAAAATGTAAGTCCGAAATAATAAAATTGGCAAGATTCAACACCTGAATAACTTCGTCTCCAAAACTCAACCACACATTATGATAGCTTGGGAAGTCACTGAGGTTTTTTCTCATGATCTGTGATATCATCTACCTTTTCCTTCCTTTGGACTCCTGAAAAAAATTGTTCATTTTTGAGCCACTCCCACTTGCTTTTCCACGTCCTACCGTGAAAACCTAAACCTTGAAATCTTCAAAACTAGTACTTCTAATCATTATCTAGAATTTTCTCAAGTGACCCCAGTCATTTGGGATGTAATTAACTATAGGGGCTTGCCGCTATAGGGAACTTGGAACACAGGTAAAATAAATTCTATTTAATCTTTATATTAGATAGGAGAACTTGTTAGTCACACCTAAAAGGTTCGTAGGCCAAACGAGTTTCAATCTCTTAGTTTGCAGGATTGGGTCCATCGCCGAAGTATACACTTATCTTTCGGGAAAGTGTAGTATTCGCGGTATCAGACACGATTAGGTAAACCATTAGACTAATGAGATCCATTTGGTCTCATTTTTCGAAAATTAAAACATACTACTTTCAAAACCCAAAATACATACCTATTATATTAAATTAAATTTCAAAATTATTTTCAATTTTCAAAAACTCAAAAAGTTGACCGACAAACGTGAGCACAAATTTTGTAGTGGGCTTACTTTGAACACGACAGATTATGAATCCTAATATGATTATGATAGACAATTTTTCTAAAATTACTCATTTTGTTCTTTGCACAAGATGATGGACGCGTCATATATTGTAGACTTGTGCTTCAAGGAGGTAATTCATCTTTATGGTATATTCAGGAGCATTTTTTCAAATAGGGATGTGAAAGTCCTATAACCATTTTTGGAGAATTTTATGAGGTAAGTTAGGTATAAAGTCTTAGTTCAGTTTAACAGCTCAACCTTAAACATTTGGGTAGAAAGAGGTTGTAAAGTGCAGTTTAGGAAATTTTCTTAGATACTTTGTGCGAAAGAACATCAACCAATGAAAATTGACTTTTCCTTAGGTGGACTTTGTCTACATTCTTTATACTAGTCAGTCCATGGGTCAAAACTTTTTTGAGATTGTGTATAGGCGGATCCCAACACCTTTGGAGTTAGTATCAATATTGCCAACTACTGAGCTAAGAGCTAATGCTGAGGTTAGAGTTGAGGATATTCAGACCCTACATGAGCAGGTTATGAATGAAATTGCTAAACAGAACATCAAGCATAAAAAATAAGCTAATAAGTCTAGGAATTTTATTATTTTCAAGGAAGGCGACATGGTATTGATTAGGTTGAAGGAGTGGTTTCTTGCATATTCATTTGGAAAGCTTAACCCTAGTGCAGATGGCCCATTTAAGATTATTAAGAAGCTTGACCTACTGGTAGATTACAAAATTTATGATTTTTTTATTGTCGTCAACTTATTGTCGTACTATGATGACCTGAATGTTTTTCAGAGACAAGGGCGAAGCCTCTCATGCCCTTGGAGAGTGACATGAGTGCGGAAATTCCATTACATTTGGAAATCCCGCTATCGCGGGATTATAAACCGCACAGATTCCATACTGTTATCAAATTTAGTGGGAATTTTTACCTTTTCTGGCTTAATCTCTACTTCTTTTTTTCTAATTTGGGTTTTTTTCCTTTCAGTACACTTTATATATTATATTTTGCTATTTTGAGACTTTAACTTTTGTTTTATCTTTTTTGGCTAGTGTGTCTCTCATTTCTGTCCCAAGGAGTGCTTTATTCTCTTTTGCAAGTAGCTGGTTCAAGAACAAGTGGTGTAACATCCTCCCTGTTCGTATGTTACCGTTTCATTGTTTACCCTGCTGTTTTCAACCCTGACAGTTTCTCTCGTTCTTTTGTTATTCCACTACTACATCCCCACTAAATTCTTTTTCTAAACACCTAGGAACCCTAGAATATTGTCACTCTAGTGAGCTATGTATTATGAAACATCAAAACCGAAATAAGTATTAGAATGTACGAAGTATCATTGATGTGTTTCATCATTCTTGGAAATTTGAAAGCCTTCTTTTCAATAAAAAAGAAAATCATAATACAATGGACATATTTGGGATGCTGTAAGCTGAATTCTGGTTTTAGCCTTATAGAAGTATGGCTATGATTTACCATTTTTTAATGTCATCGTATATCAATTTTCAATAACTCGGGGACATGCATAGTAACACGCCATTCAGTTACTTTCCTCAATGACTTATGCTTGTAATTTGACGGTCTTTATTTGCTCTTTTTAAGGTTCTTGTTCATGGCTCGGCCGAAGCTACAGAACACCTGAAAGAGCATTGCTCAAAGCATGTTTGTCCCCATGTATATGCTCCACAAATTGAAGAAACCATTGACGTTACTTCTTCTTTGTGTGCTTACAAGGTATTGGTTGGTATTGCAGTTATAATTTTTTAAATGATGTTCATGGCTAGATATTTATGGCACAATAAAAATATGATTCCTTTCTCTTTTAATCACCAATTAAGTTTGCATTGATTATTTACTTTTTAAAACTGCAGGTTCAACTCTCCGAGAGGCTAATGAGTAATGTTCTCTTCAAAAAGGTACAAGAACTCGATATTGTAATGAATTTGGCACGTTATTGTTAAAGTTACTAATGTTGTTGGCACTTCTAGTTGCCGGCTTCGCAATCTTTGGGATGCTAAAAATGTTTGTCTATCATTGTGGACATTACGGCAATTAGTGGGCCAATACGATGGACTAAAATCTCTTAAAAATTTCAGGAAACTAAATTTGTGCAAACTATAACATATCTTTCTTGTTTTCAATATAATTAGTTGTTTTCGTTTGTAGAAGTTAACAATAGTAATTTAGAACTCTGTTGTGTAAATTGATGGGCTTGACCCTGATGAAGCACCCACAAAATTTCGTCAGTTTTTCTCTATTTATGATATCTGAGCTCTGAAATATCCTAGTTTTTTTTTTGGGTGATTTTCCTTTCCAGTTAAGTCTTTTATAGCTGCCCAAACAATTCTTCAACTACCGGCTGTTGGCCTCTCACCTGCTATTTTTTGCCACCCGCATTTCGCCTCACACATTTGTTGTATGCCTCTAATCTTGTCTATCATCTCCAAGCATTACCACAAATATGCCCTAGTATTCCAACATAAGGAACATGCCTATCCATTGAGAGGAAATCCTTTTTTTTCTGTAAAGAAAATGTCTTCTATATCAGGAGCTGTGGACTCATCAAATAGACTTAATGAAATCTCAGTGAGTACCAAAATCATTCAATGTTCATTCAAATTAAATGGAAGAAATTAATTTCTTTAGTCCTAGATTATGAAAAATTTCCTCAAATAAAAGGGAAAGTCAAGCCACTTTATTGGATTGATGCTGAGAGAAGCTAATCTCACTTTTCCACTTTAATGTAGAAGATTCATCAATTATATGTTGGCTACCGAATTTAATGCTAGAAGCTAGTGGGACTTGCATGTTCCTAAACATAACCAAGGCTAACTCTCCGATGTCCATTCATTGAAACTAGTTACTGAAACCATCAACGCCCATTGCAAAATTTTATTCCTATGACTTCACAGCATCCATCCTCGTATCGCCGTGATGTCCTCCCTTTCCCATGCCCCTATCGGCACTAGTCACACCACCTACATCGACGGCCTTATTTGCTGTCTTCACTATCTCATTGACTCTTGATTAACATGCCTAGCTATTTTACCCTTTAAGAAAAATGTATTTTGACAAAAATACATATTTAAATAAATATGTCAATACAAAAGTTATGTCTCACTTTACGGCCAATCAAATAAAAAAAAGGTGATCTTTTGAAATTGTTTTGCAACAAATCAAAACCTTAAGTTTTTCAATAATTTATTCAGCATTTCAAATACTCATGTATTTGATATACTTGCAACCAAACATCCGCTATGATTTTTAAAAAAACTAAAATGAAAAAGAAAAAAAACATTGCCAATGTAAAACAAACATAATTAAACACAACCTAGAAGTTCAGTATTAGTTTTGGCTATTTATTTATTATTAAAATTTTAAAAATAGAGCTATATTCAAAATATAATTTTAGGAATTTTTTTAACCTATAAATGTTTAAAAATAATATATATTTTATGAAATAATCAGTCTTTTATTTAATTGAATAAAAATAGATTTACCAACATATCTTGCTATCTCTTTAAGCAGTTTTCTAAAGCCAAAAAAATAAAAAAACAATGCCGAACAGGCTGCGGGAAACTTTCGTCTAATCATTCAAACAGATGATCTTGAAATTGCATTTGTAGATATGAGATATGATGATGCTAGGTATTATTCTCCCCTTTTCTCCATCTTTTCTCTCTCTACTGCACCTTATACTGGGAGTGGAATTACTAATGTTCTTTGCATTTGGGTGTGTATTAATAATATACTCTAAAATGAGTCATTTCTGGTTTTGTGCTCTGTAAACAGCTAACTGTAGTTGATTCCATTCAATTTAATGGAAGTAAATTTTTTTTGGAGCTAATTACAGCTTGGTGAATATGAGATATCCTGGATTGACGCGGAAGCAGGGAAGACCAATGACATGCTTACCTTATTTCCCGTATCATCAACCCCTCCTACCCACAAATCTGTTCTTGTGGGAGATCTCAAATTGGCAGATTTCAAGCAGTTCCTTGCCAGTAAAGGCATCCAGGTATTCTTGTTTGTTTGTCATTATAATTTGATTTATTTGAGATGTATCCTTTTCTCATCACTGCTAACAAATAGATTATATTCAGTTTTTGGTTGTCTGGATAGTTTAGGTCACTAATGCTTATTTTAAAATATGAAATCACTTGGTCTGCTTGAAGGGAAAAATCCTCTTGGCATCATATTCACAAAAATGGAGGAATGAGTACACTGATTTATGGTGCATCAAAATAAACGTGCACCACTCATCAAATAGAGAGTGCTTTCTTAACTTATATTTGACCATGCTAACACCCAACTTAATTTGGAGTGTATATATCAACTAGATTCTATCTAATTGCAAATGTTTGAAAAATGGAGAGGTCTTGGAGTTTCAATAAAGATACCGACCAAATGTTTATCATTGGCAACATGAGTGATGATATTTTTTGATAGAACAATATTTTTGATAAATGTTGATATATCTAGCCTTTTAGTGGAAGACTTGATTGCTAGCAATGTAGATTACAAATTGATTATGGCGATATACAATCACTGGATGGGTAAAAAGTGAATTAAAGTACTCATAAAAAAATTGTACCCACATCATTTCACAGACTAAATGAGCCATGGCTTTGCATTTAGCTTGAGCTTTAAATGTGGCCATACTTATTTACTTCATGCTCCAAATCAGTAGGTTTCCACAATCCAAGGTACAATATCATAAGTTGAATTTGTTATCTGCAATTAATCCAACATGGTTAACATTTGCATAAAGTTCAACATTTAGGTTGTTTATTATTCGATCTACTAGTCATTTTTCTAGAGTTTCTTTTCATCTTACAGAGCCTCTAGGCTATCTTTCAATATTTCCTCTTAAGACTTTGCACGTGTTGACTAACCACGCACATCAAAGGATATATGAATTCTTGTTGCAGTCAGATAAGTTTACCTATCACATACTGTGTGAAACCCCTTAAGTAGGTTGAAGCTGAACTCTTAAACATTGAGTCGCCTTTTGGTGTAACGGTAGAATTTTATCAGAAACTTTGAAGTTAAGCGTACTCGCATGGGAGCCCTCTTGGTGATACTGGATTTAAACCAAACCACAACGATAAAAACAAATATTATTATTAAAAGCAAATAAGCAGTTACAATTAACACATTTGATAGGGAATGTACAACACGACACCTGTAAATCTGAAATAACAACAAGCACGACAGAAACACTCAAATTACGGTGGAACTTGGGGTGATTAGGTGATCGGCGATGGTTTGACCCTCTTGAGAGGTAGCAATGGGTGGGGGAAGGGCTAGAAGGCATGGCGGCAGCAAATGTTTGTGGAAAATCTTGTGGGTAAGGTGTGAAGCTGCAGGAATGGCAAGTGTGGTTGCTGTTCTAGGGTGAGTAGGAAGAAAGAGGGTGCTGGACAATGAGGAAGTGGCTGGGAGAGGCTGTTACAACTGCGACAACAAGAGAGGAGGATGGCGGCAGCAAAGCAAAGGAGTTGTGGCAATGTTAGTGAGCTAGAATGAGAGAAATAGGGGCTGGAACTGCAGGTGAATAGCAAACAAGCATTGTTCCGGGTGGTGGTAGCGAGGGGAATGTCAGTGATAATGGTGGGGAATGCAAGGAACTGCGGGACAACAAGAGGACGGCTGTTTTGGATGGCGGCGGTGAGGACATGTGACTGGAATTGGAAAAAAATGCAGCGAAAACGTTGGCTGTTCAGGGGTGTTTGCATCATGAGAGGGTGACATAGATCGACGAGGGGAGGATGGGGAAGGGGATATGAATGATAACCACCACCTCGAGAGAGACACGGCTGAAGCACCACCCAAACCCTCAGATACAGCCGGAGCACCACCCAAATCATCAGATGCGGCACTCAAAGGGAGAAAACAGATGTCGACATGATACCGGAGTTAACCCAAACCATGACACAATCGACACACAATTTTACTATTGATTTTCAAAAGGGATGTAAGGACGACATTACAGTAACAACATATAGATAATAATAATGTGAATTGTAGAAAAATAAAAAACAAACGTAAATAAATAACAGACAGAAACAACCCTCTCGAGTAACTGCGGTTGATTCGGTAGATGGAGGAAACTCCTGGAGTGATGTTGGGGTCCGACAAGTTTGCTGAAAGGGCCAAATGATGCTCGGGGAAGGTGGGGCGCTGGATTGGAAGGTTGGCAGCAGCGTAGGTCAGTGGACAGGGCCCTGAAAGTGGTAAAAGGGGCGCTCAAATGCGCTGATGCATGGAAGTAGGGGCTAAACTAGGTATGTAGAGAAATATGTAATAATTAAGGAGAGTGGAAAGGATAATCAAGAACTTGAAATTCAGTCCAGATAGGAAGGAGAGTATTTGGTAAGGGAGGATTTAAGGCATGAGATGAGCATGTAAATATGATATTTTATAAGGGAGGATTTAAGGCACATTTTCATGCATAGGTTTAAAGCACCAAGTGCTATTTATGTGAATATGATATTTTATGTGTGAGATATGTAAATACGGAAGAATTGTGTGCTGTGTATGTTAATTTCCCATTTCTTAAATGCTATAAGCTAGTCTGAGATATGATGTTGTAACTCCAATGGCACCTTTATTCAGGTTGAATTTTCAGGAGGCGCTTTACGTTGCGGCGAGTATGTAACACTACGGAAGATCAGTGATTCCACTCAGAAGGTATTCTTCTGATGTGCTTTCTAAAAGATTTCTCCTTTTTTTTTTTAATTTGCAGAGTATCAAAAGTAATCAGTTTTGTGATTTTACACCTTGGCATTTGCAGGGCGGCACTGGTGCCCAGCATGTGCTCATCGAAGGCCCTTTAACCGAAGAATACTACCAGATAAGAGATCTTCTTTATTCTCAGTTTTACTTGCTCTAGATCGCCAGCATTTGAAAAGTAAGCCTTTTTGCCCTAAAATTTCATGTTTTTTAATGAAAACCTTGAGTTAGTAGAGGTCTGCAGATCACCTTCTACTGTATATCAAATCAGCAACAAATATTTAAGCTAATATATTACATTTTAATGCCAATTTTGTTACAGAACTTGATAGCCCCCCATAAGGATTTGAGATCTGAATCTTATATTGTTGTGAAACATGCCTCTTTGTAGCTTTGTGAGTTAACTACATATGTGAATCCAATAGAGCAATTGCAGAAACTGTTTTAAACATTTGATTAATTTGAGCTGTTTAGGTGAAGTTTTTTAAGGTTTTTTGGCCCTAAAAACTGTTTTAGTTGCTGATTAGAGTGAATTTGGCTTTTGGTAAACCTTTATTATCATGACTTAGCTTCTAGAGATAATGATTACTACTAAACACTACATTACAAAGGGCAATTAAGAGAGAGTCGTACTGGACTCATGGTTTCCGCAATAGGTACGACTGCATTTAGGCTTGGACTTTGTCCTAATATATATATATATATTTTTCTGCAATATTGAGGAGTTACATATGATAGTATGTTAAAATTTATTATTTCTACTTGGTAGTTTTTATGATTTTGAGCTTAAAAATTGACTTATGACAGCTCATAAATATATGAAAGGGGTGTTTATTTATTCATTTACTGTGTAAAATTTCGTTATTTAAATAAAAAAAAATGAAAATAGAGTGAAAATTCCATATAGATGACAATGCAATAGCCATTCACGAGATATAATGCATAGAAGCTTAGAATAAAATAATAATTCAATTAATAGAAGAACATGATGCTGTTGAGATATATAATGAAATATCAATCACAAAGAGGGAAAAAAAAAGAAATTGACATATGGAAGAATAGTACAGAAGTAATAGGAATTAAATTTACCAAAAGCCACTAATTTTTGAATGAGGAAATCGAACAAAGATGTTCAGCATTCCATTTCTAAGAGGGAAAAAAAAGATGGAATTGTACATCAAATTATTATTATTTTTTTAAAAATGAGGGACAAACAATAAAAGATAAAAAAATTGTTAAAAAAATTCTATTTAAATTTGTATTAGTATAAGTCTCAAAATAATTTGACTCATTTTTAAATGTGTATAATAGTGATTTTTGTTAAAAATCCTCATATATTACATTAATTTGAGAATATACTGATTAAAAAACTAATCTTCAATTTTCTACCGATAAAATTGTAGCTTGCAATCAGATAAGTTAGCACCTATCATGTTAGGGTAAACAGTGTTTTGGGAGCTTATGCGTTTTCAAAAAGCTAAAAATAATGTTTTTACATTGCGCCTATTTAGATGTGGAGAGCTTTTTAGTAGCAGTTTCGTTTTTTCAAAAAAATAAAAATTTGTAATAGTCACCACACCTAGCTTATCAGTAAATTATTTTTAATCAGCTTTGTCGGCACTATTTTTGGTGCGGGGTTTGCCCATAAGAAGCTGTCGGTCATCGGAATTGAAATCCCGTTGACCGTTTCGGAAGGACATTTTTTTTTTAAAAAAAAAATTTAATTTTGAAAAAGTTGAAGTCAAACTGACCCCATAATTTTCATAGTTTAGATGAAAGAGCGTTTTACCTCAAATCCTGTATCTATCCCGAAGGATGATCACAAGGATTGAGGGTGAGACTCGATCAAATAAACTAAAGAAAGTTATGACATTCGTTTGGTCTGCGAAACCAATATATTGGCCGACAAATTCCCCTATTTAATATAAAGAATTAAATAGGGTTTATATTATGCTGGGTTCGGGAAAAGCTTCATATAAGGGCAACCCTTACAGTTAATTACATCTTAGATAACTTAAGTTACATAAGAATACTCTCAATAAAAATCAAGAAAAATTATCTTCAAGGAGTTCAAATGGTAAGGACATCTCAAAGATATCGGACTAAGAAGTGTGAAGGGGGATTGGTTCAAATTTGAAACATTTTGTTTTGGAGTCCAAAGGAGGAAACACTAGAGGATGTCACAGATT